AAGTCGTGTCACTTGGAATTTGGCGATACCTTTTGAAACGAAAGGGGTCAATAAAAAGGTATAGGTGGTAGGAATGCCAAAAATGAATGTTGTTCAAAATAAGTGGGGAACGTTTATGAGGATTGTCAGTATTTTGGGCTTGGGAAGTAACTAGGTCTTCGACACAAATATACGCCTTGCGGTGAGACATAATTGGTGAGTACAAATCGGGTTATTCTGTGTAATGTTAAGGAATTCAAAACATAATAATTCACAAGGGAACTCTTTACAACGCGAAGTGAAGAATCAAACACAAAATTTAGTTGCTTGATAAATCTGTAAGTAACAGCAAGATAATCCTCAATGCCTTTAAATCAGTCAACTAGTGTTTCCTTAAAGTTTTTGTTTTCACATGCACACACTTCACTGCATCTTCCTACTTCCTTCTCAGATTCTCTATTTATATGCACACACATCACTTTCAAAGTTAGATTATTCAGTGTTTGCATTTTATACTTTCTGTTTAACTCATGCCTTAGAATCTAGGTAAAGCAGTTAAGTTAGATAGAGCATACCACTTACTTGATCATGGAACATCCCGAGCCAAGTGGAGCATCTTATGACAATGGATCATCCTCTTCAAGAAAACCATATGTGTTTACCTTGGTTTATGGAGCATTCTTGTATATTGTAAAGAAGTTCAAGATCAAAAGCTTTAAAGAACCATCTTGAAGAAACTCCGTGCTCTTGGACCAACATGGAACAACTTCAGATACATGGACCACAGTTGGAGCAACAACATACAACTTGGACCATCTTGAATCATCTCCTCATATTTTGACCAAATGGACGAATGAATGAACCATCTTCATTCATTTTGATCATCTTGAGGAATCTTAGACCATCTTCATCAACTTGATCATCTTGAGGCATCTTGGACCATCTTCATCAACTTGTCGTCTTGAGACATCTTGGCACATCTTCATCATCTCGATCAACTTGAAGTACTTTGGAGCAATTTCACAAACTTGAAGGATCTTGATCACTTGGACCAGCTTGGAGCATCGTCATTCATTTGGAGCATGCTCAAAAACGTTGGAACATGTTCAACAACATTGGAGCATGATCAAGAACATTGACACGTGATCAAAAACTTGAGGCATCATCAGCCACTTGATGCATCATGCCCATGTGACTCATTAAGTCCATATAGAGCATAATAAATGTGCCATGCACATTTTGAATATGCCATACACGTTTTTTTAATGAGCCATGCACGTTTCATGTAGACCATGCACATCTCAAGTAGGTCATGCACATGTCAAGTATGTCATGCACGTTTTGAGTAGGTCTTTCCTGAGGTGTCATGCACGTCTCGAAGATATCATCCATGCATGCACCACCTTTTCTTTCTTGATTCTCAAGGCATCATTCTCGCGCTCGCGACTCAAGTTGAAATTCTTCTATTTATACTTGAGTACCATCCAAGCCTTATGGGCCACAAGTTGGCCCATGCAAGCCCTATTTAGGCCCATTGAGAAACCCTAGAAACCTTCACCTATAAATACCTCACTTCTACTTCTCATTCTTGCTTTTTCACTCTCTCACAAATTCTTACTTTCATACTCGCTTGGAGCAACAAGGCGTCGTGAGCAACACTCGCGTATGCAACAGGCAACTTAAGTTGGTGAGAAACAAGCAGCCTTGGCACAACAGCAAATTTGGCTCAATAACCTAATTTTCGAAATTTCTTCTTGAGCCACAAGTTTTTTGTTGCAAAACCCTAGTTTGGCTCAACTACCTCCCTATTTTCAAAAAACCCTCTTGAGCCATAAGTCTTCTTAAGTTGCAACCTAATTTGGCTCAACAACCATCCTATTTTCGAAAATCATCTCTTGAGCCACAAGTTTTTTTTAAAAACCCTAGTTTGGCTCAACATCCTACTCAATTTTCGAAAATTCTTCTTGAGCACTCCTTATTTTCGAAATTCCTCTTGAGCCATTAGTGATCAACAATGATTTTGTACCCCCCTCTTGAGCACTCCTTATTTTCGAAATCCTTCTTGAGCCATCACTAATTTCGAAACCCCTCTTGACCCATTAGTGATCAACAAGGATTTTGTACCCCCTCTTGAGCATCAAGTAATTCCGAAATTCCCTCTTGAACATCACTAATTTCGAAACCCCTCTTGACCCATTAGTGATCAACAAGGATTTTGTACCCGCTCTTGAGCATCAAGTAATTTCGAAATTCCCTCTTGAGCATCACTAATTTCAAAACCACTATTGAGTCATTCCTTATTTCGAAATTCTTCTTGACTCTCAACAACCCCCTCTTGATCATCAAGGAAAACCGAGGATATCTTCTTGAGCCATTCCAAATTTTGCAACTCCTCTTGACCTACAAAACCCTAATTACGCTTTTTTCTTCTTTAGCCACAAGTATCTTCGTGATCAAGCAAAAAAAAACAAAAACCTTCTTGAGCCTTCCCTTCTTGCGAAACTTTCTTTTTTCTTCTTGAGCCTAATCTCGAAATTCTCCTTCTTGAGCCTTCCCTTCTTGCCTCATCAACGCAACTCCTCTTGACCCTCATAATTTTTTTTTCATGATCAACAAGAATTTCGAAATGTCTTGCTCATCAAGTAAAATCGAAACCCTTCTTGACCCACAAGTATTTTCATGATCAACAAGTGCAAATCAAAACTCACTTGATCATTCCCTTCTTGCGCCACTTTCTTCTCTTTCTTGAGCCACACTCTTGAACTCATTTTCTTGTGCATCACTCAAACCTCAAAAACCTAATCGTGAATCCTCTTGCTCAAGTGGCTTGGCACAACATCACATCTGATCATCTCTTGGCGCACTAACAACTCACGTGAGCATCATCTATTCACGACATCATCATATACCCGTCTTGCACCGAAACAACTTCTCTGAAGCCAACCTTTTTTTAGCCACACTTCTCTTCGTGCCCCACAAACATCTCTTTCCCATTTTTTTTGGTCATCAAGCTAGCAACAAAGAAAATCCCACTTGCGCCACACCTTCATCGTGATCATCACGTGTGCATCAACCATCATGAGCAACAACAACATCGGTTATCACTTGATTATCAACAGGCCCTCTTGATCATCAACAACCCTCTGTGATCAAAAAGTAATTTTGTGACCCCCAGCTTGCCTCATCATCCTTCCATTGTGCTCATCAAGAAAGTTCTCCTTCCAAAACCCTAGTATGGTGCAACTCCTTCAAACCCCTTGCGCAATCGTTACACCATCCTCTTGATCATCAACTAAATCTTGTGATCATCAACAAGGGAATTCACCACACTTGAGCATCCACCCTCTTGATCCACACTCAAGTTTTGATACCTTCTTAATCCCCCCTCAAGTTGTGAAACCCGAATTAATCCACATTCAAGTTTCGAAACCCTACTTGAGCCACATTCATGTTTCGAAACCCTACTTGTTCAAGACTTAAATTTCGAAAACCTAGTGAGCATCAAAGCCTTGGAGCAACATCAATTGAACTCATCATCACCTCTTCAACCACTCACAAACCCTAGGTGAGCATTTTTTTTTCACCCTAATTCACGTTTTTTTTTACCCTAGATCATTTTTTTTGTTTTGTACAAACCCTAGTTTTCTTTTCCTTTGGATCATCATCAACTACCTGTTGGAGAATCATCATTCAACCTCTCTCGTGTGGGTCATCTCCAAAATCTAGGTAAGCATCACAATTCCTTTGTGCAACCCTAGTTGTCACAAGTCAACCTCATGAGCATTCTCGTATGCTACATATTTTTTTCTCTTTGTACATCATCGTTTACTTCACATTGATCATTGAATCATCATGTGTTTAGTGTTTATCATCACGTGGTCCATCATCATTTTATGTTGAGCATCACATTCTTTGATCACTCTAGGTAAGTGCTCATTCTTCCTATTTACACTTTATGATGATTATGGTGTACACTGTCTAAAGTTTTGTTTTCTCTTGACATGACATAGATTTGAATATCTCTTGTGTCATTTGTGTTGACTTATCTCTCTGTTGCTCATTAATTCAACAAGACATCAACTGGTAAGTAACATCTCTCTTGCATGTTCACATATCCTCATATAATAAGGTTACCCCTCCTTAGTTGATGATTCATGTCTATACATATGTTCATATGGCCAGGTTCCCCTAGTATTGGCATATCACTTCTTTTAAGTGAACACCTCTTCTTGTTGCAATCATATTGGGTGAGCATTTTTTATTTTTTATTTTTTATTTTTTTATTTTTTTTATTTCTTCTTGATCATTATTTCATCTTCACATACCATGCTCAGGTTATTTAGTGTTGATTCTTTGATCAAATCTTTCATTTGAGCATTATACTTATTGGTGCATATCTTGCTTTTCATACTCACAAGTCTAGTACCTACACCTATCTTTTTTTAAGGTAATGTCCCTTCTATTACTCTTATGTGATCTTCAATTTCATGTCTCTATATGTTATTTTAGGATCAACATATTTTTTTTCTCTCATTTTTCAACTTTATCTAAATCCATTCACAATTCTATGTGTTCTTGGATTTACATAAATAGTTGTCAACTGTTGTCTCTATGATACCTAATTTTATGTTAGTTTCTAAAGACATCTTCATTTTATGTGCCATAGTCATCCTAGGCCATGACTTAGCAGTTTTACTTGATCTTTGCACTTTTGCTATGATCTAGTAACATCATTTTTTTTTTGTTTTATATGACATTAAGTTTTTTTTTTTCATTGCAACTTGTCGTGTAATTTTCTTTTTGGCCTATACCTAGTGAAAATGAATTTGCAGATTCCTCTTGTCCATAGTTGAATCCACAATACTACTCAAGTCCCAACCTTGTTTAGTTAATGCAAAGTCACACATTACACCCCCCCCCCCTTTTGAATTTAGTTAAGATTATATGCTACTATTCTCTAGCTATATCTCTTTAACTAACAACTCATTCCACTTTTTGTTCTTCTTCTCTTCTCTCAAGACATGGCTTCCAAAGAAGATAGTCAGACTTCTAAAGCAAAGTCTTCTCATAAGGGCTCACACTCTCATGCTACTGGACCTTCAACTGAGACACACTCATCATCACCTAAGGTTGAAATGGCTGCATCCAACTATACTGCACTTCTTAACACTCAGGAACAACCCAAAGAAGTTGGTGTCGTAGTTGAATATCTGCATAAATGCCCATTGGCATATGCACTTCTTTCTACTTCTACAACTCCACAATCTCTTATCTTCGAAGTCTTTCAATCAGCAGTCATCTCCACAAGAGCAAGGTCCAAACAACTTGATGTTGAATTTAATCTATTTCAAGCTACCTTGGTTCTAAGTAAATAAGACTTCGCAGTCAGTTTAGGTCTAAGCGATATTCCTCCTAAACCTCAGACATTTGTCACACCAACTTCTGCTCAATTGTTGACAATGTTCAAGGAAATGGGATATAAATTTGAAGACGAACAAGAACCATGCCTTTCAAGAACTCAGAAATCTTGTCTTCCCACACCATGGCACTTTCTTAGTTCTGTCCTCACTAGATGTCTCTTTGGATCAGTTGGTGGACGCAGTAAAGGTAAAACAGACCTTTGCATTCTTATGTACGGGCTCTTCTACGACATCAATGTTGACTACGCGTCTATTCTTTGGGAAGATTTCCTCAATTTTCTCCCTGCCTCAAAGAATAAGTTTTTGATTCATCATCCTCGCTGGTGGTCTATCATTATTTATGATGCCATCCATAATAGTAATCTTGCACTAGGATGGATTCCAGAAGGCCCACAACCACATTTCTTGTGTATGACATCATATCGGATTCGTATGGCATCTGAATCAGGGTCTTCACAACCAGTCATCATTCCAGATTCTATACTTACAAAGCTGGATGAAAACAGTGCTTCTCTATGCTCATATCAAAAATACATCCAGGGAATTATTTCACCTCCCAAAAAGAAGAGGAAGCATTCCGATCATACATCCAAGAAGAAGGCAAAGAAGAAAAAGAAATCCAATCAACCGCCCCCTATCCCATCTTCAGTTGTTTCTGATGATAATCATGGAGCAGATTTAGAGGAACCCACATCTCTCCCTAAATCTGGTACAACCTCTAAGTCATTCTCTTTCATAGATTCCTTGTTTCAAGCTCCATCTGATTCTGATGAACCATCCTCTTCAGCTCCAGTTTCACCAGCACGCGTTCAGTCGGATCTCGAAGACCAAGCTATCGTGTCTCCTTGGGTTATGACTCACTTGAGGATGATAACCAATCTGAACCTGAAGCTTTTCCTCAAGGTTCTCCTGTACAAGATAATCATGATGAGGATACTCCAAGGCGGACGGTAGATATTCCTTCCAGTGAAGGACTGATAGTCGATGATGAGACAAATGACATGTCCATTGTCCTTTACTCCAACGCATCTACCAGGACTTTCAGCATTGATCTTGATGACTACTCTCCTCTAACTCCAAAAGAGTCTCAACAAAAGGATGACGTTCAAAAACCAAATCTCTCCTCCTTTCAGCAAGATCCTCTTTAGGACGACAGTACTCCTAACGAAACAGATGAAGCCAATACCACAGAACCAGAACCTGAGCGCATAAGACTTACTGCCCAAATGGTAGCTGATGGTATTGCAGAGATTCGCTTTCACACATCTTCTCACTCTGAATATCTGAAGAACTTTCAAGAAATTCTTGAATGTATGGAAGAAAATATGTGTATCCTCAATGAGAAAACAGAAGCACGGGTCAAAACGCTTCAAGTCACTATTGAAGATTTTGAAGGCACAACTGCTTATATCAAAGGACAAGTTGCTCGTAACATGCAGATGATTGAAACTGTAGATCAAAAAATTCATAACACCATTGAAGCCTGTCTCTCTCCGATGAATCAGAAGATAGATGACTTACTACAGTCCTTATCCAATCTAGAGTCCGTCTATGAAGGCAAATTGGATCATATGCAGAATCATGTTACTGCTCAAGACCGCTACATCTCCTCTCTTGAGACGTCCATTGCTGAACTCTCTAAAGCTTCTGCATCATCCTCCACCTCTCCCTTTCAGGCGTTCAGTGAGCAGGTTCAACGTCAATTGGATTCGTTAAGCTCTGACATAGCAAATCTATCCAAATCCAATTTTGAGAAAAAAAATAGCTCAGCAGGTGACATATCTTCCCTTCAAAAGACTGTTCAATTGCTAGTCGATGAAGTCAAGGCTATCAAGGAACAATCTTCCTCTTCAGATCTATCTGCTCTTCAACAAAAGGTTGCATCAACTGATTCTAAACTTGACTTGATCTTAGCAAAGTTATCTGGTTCAAATGAGAGGCCACCTGAACCAGAGGGGCAAAAGATCCACAAGACCAGATCAAGTCAATCTCCTATCATACACCAAATTCCAGACTCACCAAATGAGTTTGAGAAAAGGAGACATGAGAAAATAGAGTCACTTGACAAAATGGTTGCTGATGCACGATTAAAGGCTCAACAGAACAGAGCAAAGATAGCTGAGAAAGAAAAGGAACTCGTTCGACAACAAGGGATCAAAGATCCATCTCTAAGAGTTCCAAGAAGGAAAGATGTTTACTTTTCCAAACCTCTTACCATTTCAGAACCAATCACTCAGCCAAAGCTTTCTCAAACTGATCCCAAGGATAAGGGAAAACAGAAGATTATCTTCAAGTCTAAGAAGGAATTAGTTAAAGAAGCTCAAATGGAGGTAGATGAAGAAGTAGCAAAGCAACTGAAGGCTAAGGAATTAAATTCTAAACAAGAGATGCTTCTCAAAAGAAAATCTTCAGAGATCTCGACTGAAGAAAGGAGTACATGGCATGATGAACAATATAGAGTGTCTTTACCTAAAAGAACCATCTTCTTTAACCCTGATAGAGATTCCTATCAAAAGGTAAAGGTCATCAAGCCCACAAATTCCTTTACACCTCCTTCTGAATTCACTAAAGAAAACTGGGATATTCCTGCACCCCCGAATGGTATGAAGTTCAATTTATGGCCAAGTGCAATTTATCCACTCGAGGTTAATATAGACATTGAAGAGATAAAGAAAAGATTCTTCCTGAAGAAATTAATTCAAGTTGTCCCTGTATGGTCAAAGTCCAAGATTGCTTCAAATAGCAAAATTGATATACGAAAATTTAGAAAAATGCCATATGCATTCTTTCAAGGAAGAAGGACAGACAAATCTGAATTCATGTTTTCTGAAGCTGATTTCCCTAAAATAAACCAAGCTGATATCAGATCACTGATCATTTGGTTGAAACAAAGGGTGAGTACAGATAAAGCTTATGCAGAAGTTCTACAACGCCTAAGGCAATATGTGCTCGACATGCTTATTGATTTCAGTGTTGACTGGGAGATTAGACAATTGAGAGAAAAGGAAGTTGAGGAACCAAATTTAGATCTAAGTATGGAGAATGAGTCGCCTGGGAACATTCTAAAGAAACCACACAAAGGTGTTGTATTTTCTTCTAAAGGTCGACTGAAATTCATGAGAATCTCCCAAAAACATCTATTCTCCTCTGAATTCATTAAAGGCATCATTGGTTTATTGAAGAGAACAGGAGATCATGATGAATCACTAAGAGTGAAGATCATTGAAGAAATTTCATGGTTTTTAAGTTTTCGGCAATGGTTAATAAACTTGAGAAACAAAGTTTAGATTATGTTTTTGCTTTTTTTTTAAAACATGTGAATGATGTTTCTGCTACTAGTAATATCTTATTATTAAAATTCATCTTGCATGTTATTATCTTTATTTTTTTTCTCCTTATTTCAGTAACCATCACATAGGGGGAAACTGTTGGAAATATTTTTATGTGATTGTCACTTGAAATAAGTTGAGTCCTTTTATATATCTCTCTAACAAACAGTATCAGAATGTTTCAGGTTGGAAAGATATTGAGGGTTCAACCAGTCTTTGAAGAATCGGATGTTGGAGCACTTGAAGTAGAACATGGAGCATTTGCTGAAAGCTAGTTGGATCATCATGATCTCAGATGGAACATCTAGATCATATGTGGAACATGAAGACATTGATGGATCATCTAGAATATTGATGGCTCATCAGAAACATTGTTGGCTCATCCACAACTCTATGGCTCAACAAAAGCTGATGACGCAACAGGAATACTTGGTGGCTCAACTCAAGTCAATGGATCAACAGGATCACATTGATGGCTCAACAAGACTGCACGTGGAACATCATGTACAATGAAGGCACGTCGAAATGCTCAAAGGAACATGAATTTCGTCCATGGTCCATCATGAACATGTGGTGGTACATCCTCAAGTTCAAGATATAGTCCAACGTTCAAGAAACTACTCAACATGATCAACAACACTTCTGGAAGTTGATGACATCTCAGAAGACAATTGAGCAACTTGATGCTCATGTTGCTCATCATATTTTCAATGTTGATCAAGAAGGTTCAGGAATTATGAAGTCTCATAACTTGGATGGAACCCTAACGGAATAGTAACGGAATTGGAATATTCCATCCATTCTCCGTTAAGTAGGGCAAAGGTGTCAATTGATGACTAAGTCTTGATGACATGTCAGCACCTGATTCGTCAAGCCATGTCATGGGCTTTTCCAAAGCCTATAAATAGGCCCCTTGGGATCCATTATAAAGTGGCTCTTTTCTGATCATTCCTGCTCATTCTGCACAATTGCTGCCTAGACTAGTCTTCAGAGCCATTTGAGAGTTTTAGTGTGTGTTTTACATTCAAACACTTGTAATTGAATCTTCATGAATATGAGACACATTTGAATCATTGATCTTAAGTCAAAAAACGTTTTTCTATTAATTTGATTGATTCACAACTCTTTATTTTCCGCACTACTTGCCACTTGACGATTCTGAAACTCTGTTTCAGTATTTTCAACACTTGGACTATTCTAGTCTAGGTTTACTGAATTTTCTCATTTCTTCAGACAAAACAACATTTGGTGGTCCTTTACCTCTTGTTTCTAAAACCAATGTCAATGAATCTTTTTCTAATGTCGAATATGGTGAAAATGAAGAAGGTTTCATTGTGAAGTCTGATGATAAGGTTGTGGCTTACTATTCCAATAACAATGTCAATAAGTTTTACAAAAAGCCAATGAAGGGAAACTTCAAAATTAACACATTCAAGAAAACAACTTCGACATCCAATGCTATTGTTGAGAACAAGAAAGATGGTAATTCAACTGAGAAGAAGCTAGTTGGTGACTCTGGATACGACTACAATTATTGCAATGTAAAAAACCATTTGGCAAGGGATTACATGTTAAAGAAGGAGGAGAAGCAAGACAAAGTGAAAGATGAGGCATATTATGCTTTAAAGATCGAAGAACCGAGGGAAAAGTCAAAGAATCTATCACTAGTGGCAAAGGGCTTGGATGAGGATGATGGTACGTATCAGATTTGGTTATCTGGATCAAACAATGAGGAGATGCATTATCCGACGCGTGGTGCTATGTTTGCTAAGCATTATGGTGATGGTAGTGATGAGGAGCTAGTGAGTGAAGAGGTTGTGTATGATGGAAAAGTTTGGAGTGATGAAGGAAACAATGTCGAAGGTCGATGTTTCATGGCAACAACTTCCAAATCTCCTATGATGGATAAGGTATATCATCTCTTAATATTACTTAATATTTCTTCAAGTTCTTATGATTAAATTTCATCTTATATTGATGATGCTTTTGCTTACTTGAATGATCTGTTGATTTCTATGAGTAGTGATGTGGAAAAACCAAGGCTGAATTTTATGATGCTAGGAATAAAATCGAGTAGAAAAACTCTAGGATGGAGAGTTTAAAATTTAAGCCTAACAATGTTACAATCTATATAGACTCTGTTAGGATTGATAATATCTTATTGGTTAAACAGAGAAACATTTATTGTAATAATGCAAAACGTTTGTATGGTAAACTCAAATCATTATATCATTTCTCAGATATATGTAAGGAACATCATATAACTTTTTTTTTCCTTTTATCGCATTCAAAAAGGAATTAGTTATAAAATCACATTTGATTGTGAAATTAGGGTATCTGTTTTTGATCAGGTACCAAATGATTCATATGCTTGTGGTGTAGTTAATATTGATGAATATTTTGGATGTTGATCAATTGGTGAATATTGTAAATGATACTTTGAATAAGAATGAACACATGAAAATTTTGAACAAAACTGAATCTTTGACACAATGTTCTCAAGAAAATTTTTTTGATATCGAAGATAACTTTAACAATATCAGTGAAATTGTAGTAGTGAAATGCGTTGATTGTTTGAATTTATCGGCCATTAAAATTAACTCATTAGCTAAAAGTGAAGAGTATGTTGATTCAATGTCGAAGCTTAATAAGGATTCATATCCGAGAACTGATAACAATGTTTCTCAAGATAAAATTAATATCAAAGACATAACAAATGATGAAAGTGAAGTTGACGATGTTTCTAATGGAGAGGAAATTCCTCATGTTGTTGAAGCACAAGTTTTTGGGTATACAAATGAGAATACAAAAGGTTTGAATGAAAAAGGAAAAAAATTTCTTAAACACAATTCTGTATGTATCCATAGTTCAAAGATTTTCCAAATCATGCTTTTGTGATGTCAGGAAATGGAGAGAATGTTAATGTGAAGTTGAAGGATTTGTTGGAAGAAGATAACAAGGATGTAATTGAGGAGGGTTTTTACTAAAATTAAAATGGTGTGTAGAATAATTTGAATCAAAGGTCAAAGACTTTTCAAAGGAAGAAAAATAAAAAATCAAGTTTTAAATATATGTAACGTCCCAAAAATCACAACCAAAGTTTTCATTTTTAAGTTCAATAAAACATTGATTCTCACAACACTAAGTCAAGAAAAACCATAAGTATAAAAATACATCCATCCCAAAAATCAGAGTATCACAAAATGCGGAATCATGAAAACCGCCACGGAGAGTGTACCGTCAAGCCTTTTCCTTTCCACGATCATTTGAAGTACATGAAACACATTTAAATTCACAACTGTAAGCACAAATCTTAGCGAGTTCCCCAAAAAATCACATACAACACAACATAAGAAACAACTATGGGTTATCAGCAACCCTAAAGACTATCAGCTGTTATGGAGTTATCAACAACTCAATAAACACATATAACAACAATCATCAATTAAGACTCAACTAGTCTAGCATGCACCCTACTATGACATATGTAATATAGTGAGAAGAATCACCTTGCAAATAGCAAGCTATCACAACAGGTCTCTGATAGAGGAGACTGGTACTATGAGACACATAAACACAATATAATAGTACCCTCTTAGTCTACACTCTAAAACTCTTAAGTTGACCAAATTGAACAATGATCAAAAGTCAACAGTCAAGGTCAATCGCAGCTGACCCCCACGTCGTTGACACCCATTTTTCACGTTATGAGAGCAATATGACAAAATAGTTACGAAGTTGTTTGTCGCCATGTCATGATGGTCGTTCCGCCGCGTCGTGGGAACTGCTTTGGACAAATTAATGCTTTAAGCTCTCAATCTTCAAGCTAAGAATTAAGACTTTCTAAAAGGATTTCTCTATCCCAAAGGATCATAAAAATCATTACTTTTAGACATGCATGCCCAATGCATGTATTGAGTACAAGTTAAGTCAAAATGAAGAAAAATAAGATCAAATCTCATTCATGGAACTCATATCTCAAAACCTTTCCAGATATGGGACAAGAGGTCACAAAGGAACCTCAAGGACTAATAAAGTTGGTAACTTTAAGAAATCCCAATACTCAAATCACCTCAAACATGGTGGAAAATGGAAAAAACCAAGATCTAGCATGATTGAGCACAAAAGGTAGGAAGTTGAGGAATTACAAGAGTCCTAAAATAGCACGAGATGATGAGGGAGAGGCTTTCTAGCTGAAAGAATGCACTAAGAACAAATTCTTCTTCTTCAAGGGGCTAAAAATCACCACAAAGCTCTCACAATATCAAAATGGAGGCCAAGGTTTCTTGGATGGTGAAAGGAAGGTGATGAAGGTTGAGGGTTTGTAAACCCTATCCCTCAATTCCCTTAAATAGGGGCACAACCCCCATAATTAGGGTTAAGCACTCAGGTGGACACCACGTCGTGACCATAAGCTTGTCACGTCGTAACACACATGATTGATGCACGTTTTATACAGCCATGTCCATGTCGTGATGTATCCTTCACAAGGTGGTGGCCATTAGAAAACCTACATTTTCATCTTTAATTGCCTAAAAACATAAATGAGTTATTTACCAGGATTAGGTGTTACAATTCTCCCCGACTTGAACTAGATTTTCCCCTCGAAATCCTCAGCTGAAAATAGATCTAGGTAGTGCTTGCACATCTCCTCCTCAGACTCTCAATTCCACTCTAAGCCCTTCCATGTTTCCAATGCACCTTGAGCAAGGGTACCACCTTGTTGCACAAGGCCTTCGTCTTCCTATCAAGAATCACCACTGGTCGCTCAATATAATTCAGGCAATCATCAACCTGAATTTCATCTAACGGAAGAATAGTAGACTCTTCGGTTACAAATTTCCTGTACTGGGAAATGTGAAAAATGTTGTGGATCTTGTTGAGCTTTCACATCTTCCTGAAGCAAATAATACCATTACAGGGGGATACTTTTAGAAATACCCTATCCCCGACCTGAA